CTGCTATAAACATTGGTGTGCATATATCTTTTTCTTTGGGGTAAATACCGAGTAGAGGGATTGCTGGATCATAAGGTATTTCTATTTCCAACCTTCTGAGGAAGCGCCATATTGCTTTCCAGAGAGGTTGGACCATTTTGCAATCCCACGAGCAATGTAGGAGTGTCCTAGTCTCTCCACATCCTTACCAGTATTTATTGTCCTCTACTTTTTTGATCTTTGCAGTTGTTGCTGGTGTGAGATGATATCTCATTGTTGTTTTGATTTGCATCTCTCTAATGGCTAGTGATGGTGAACATTTCTTCATATGTTTGTTGGCTGCCTGGATCTCTTCCTTGTTGAAGTGTCTGTTCATGTCCTGCACCCATTTTTTAATTGGGCACTCCCCCATTTTTGTTACAAAACTTGTATCTTTACAATTGTGACAGTCGCAATTAGTCATGATAACAATTACTCATTGAGAGCACTGTTTGTTTTTGCAGGTGTCCTCTCCATGGCGAATGCAGGCCCCAACACCAATGGTTCCCAGTTCTTCATTTGCACCATGAAGACAGACTGGTGAGTAGTCCCTCTTGCCTGGCTGGTACGTGGCCCTCTGGGAATGAGGCCACAGTGGGGGAGGGTCCATATCCTTTCAGGGCCAGGCAGTTTGATATGGGAACCACGTATGTTTGGGCAGCAGCCATGTCTGTCTGGGACAGAATTTGTGTCATTCCTGCAACTCTGTCATAATTAGGATTCCCCATCTTGCTGTCTATTAGAATTTTCTCAAAGTGTGTTCTGCAAAAAAAAAAAAAAAAGGTTTTTCTATCAGATGCATTTGGGAAATGTTGCAGAATATATTAGGACTCAAGATGGCTTGCAATAAAAACCTGTTTATATGGTTTAACTTAGTGTTTCCTGGGCTTATCTTTCACCATGAAAGAAAACACTGCAGGGGCTTATCTTTCACCATGAAAGAAAACACTGCAGGAGGCACTTGAATATCATGTTATATTAGCCTTTTCATCAAGCATAGGCATGCAGATAGCTAGCAGCCCTGTAGGGCCCTCTTTCCTACAAGTCTATGGATTTTAGGGATGTCTTCCCTGGAAAAATTTCCACTAAAAGGTAAGTTTCTCTGGCACTTTAAAAAGTCACTTGTAAGCATCAGGTGGTCCTATTCCCCTCAAAATCCTTGGTGTCTTCTGTACCGCTAAGATACCTGTGGCTGAGTAGGCTGGAAGCTAAGACTCATTACACATTCCGAGGGTCCAGGGAGACTGAGGTGGATGTGAAGGGACACGAGTTCCTGGGCAGCCTGCCCTTGTTCTCCATAAGATCCGTAATGGGACCTGCTGTTTTGTGTTGGCTGCAGCCAGTCTTGACCTCACTGGAGAAAGACAATGCTGCCTTTTAAATGATTGGAATGCCCCCCATTGGGACTATCCAGAACATCTTCCTCCACAACTTAAGTAATTTCATCACACTTGCTAGGTTAGCTCTCACCTCATTCATGGCTGGTCAACTAGTTGCATAAGTATAGACGTCTCATTTCTTCATCGTAGTTTAATTTCCCATTATTGCCCCATGCCAAACAAGAAGAACCCACTTTTGGTAGATGAGGTGATCAGCACTCAGGCTAGGTGGCCAGACCTGATCACATGGTGTGTGAGTGTCAGAACATTCCTGGGAGCCATGTTTCCTCTGGTAAACTCAGGGAGTTCAGCAGGGCATGAGACTGGAACTTTGGATTGTGGCTCCACCGCTTCAGTGTGGGCTCCTTTCGTAACCACTGCTTTGGGTAGCTAATTCCATTACCCAATGACTGTGGCATTAGTGACACTGTGCTAACCTCCTTTCTGCTGGGAATCTGAGGGGCACAGATTGTTAGCAAGCTCGGCAGCTAGCTCCAAGGTACCTCAGAAGGAAGGCCTGGTGATCTGTGAGGGATGCTTCCTGAAAAGAAATGCATTGGAAAAAGAAGGAAATTTTCCCACAAGCATTTTGAAGCTCCCTCATGCTTCTGAGAAACCAGCCATTAAGAACCCCATGGAGCAGTTGTATGCAGGCACACCTGGGGCTGCCATGAGCTAGAGTCAACTCTGGCCACTGGTTCCGGTTCTTCTGGTTCCTTTCTGCTCATTTCTTGTCCTCCTAGGCTGGATGGCAAACATGTTGTGTTCGGCCACGTCAAAGAGGGCATGGATGTCGTGAAGAAGATAGAATCTTTTGGCTCCAAGAGTGGGAAGACATCCAAGAAGATTGTTATCACAGACTGCGGCCAGCTGAGCTAACCCCCGGCCTGACGTGTGAGCCAAGCAGCCACTGTGCGGGTATGCTGGCCCACCAGGGAATGGTGTTGGGGTCTCAGTGCTTGCTCCGCCACCACCGTGTGCTAGGGGGAGGCCTCTGCTTCCCCACTGCCCATATTCCTCACGGCCCACGTAGCCCTCAGCATTGTCTTCAGTCACCTGTACTGGGGACGGTGGCGTAACATTCAAGAAAGAGATTTGCATTTTCCTTGGCCACGGGAGAGCCAGTTGCTATCAGAGGGCTACAGTACCTGCTTAGTTTCTGGTTTGGAATAATGAATGAGATTAACTTGCCATGAAGCTGTGATATTGTACCATGCCGGGGCGGGACTTGAATTGGTGACTTGGCTTTTGAAACAGCCTTCTGGGCTTTGTGACGGTCCCCCAGCCGAGGCTTTTCCTCCTGGCTCTGGTGGGACTGTGGTGGTGGGAACAGACCCACTGACTGGCATCCGGTCACGGAATGCCTGTGTTGAAGCCACACGTGGGCCATGTGCTCTGGGAGAAATTCACCGCGTGTTCACAGAAGCTTTTGATTTTAATCATTTCAGTCTACTGATTTGTATGTGGATTATCTCTGGAACATTTATTTATGTTCAGTTTAAATGTGAAAATAAACCCTATTTTCTATAAAAGACTGTCTGGTGTCCATGGTTTTCTAACTTAGATATGTGGCACCAACCTTTTTGGAGTTCCCATGTGCATGTTATGCTGTAGGGTTTTATGTGGATGATCTCATTTTATCATCCCAGCAGCTATGAAAGTACTATTGTCATCCCTGTTTTCCAGATGAGGAAACTGAGGCTCTGTTTTAGCCTCTGCAGCTCCCACTGTGCACTGAGTGTCCTCTGGGTCCAAGCTCCACTGCTTCTGTCCAGCAGCAGTGATGTCTTACCACGTCACAGGCTGATGAAGTCTGAGAGTGACCCAGGTACAGTGCATGGTCCCTGGCATGTCTTAATTAGAGCTCTGGAATGACAAGGATGCTGACAAAACATCTGAGTCACAGGAAAGCAGAGAAATGCCCGAACAAACAAAGGAGCCATCTGAGGTTAGAAGCAGACGATGTGCCATTTAAATTTGGAATTCTAGTTGTTTCTGAAGTCACACTCACAGGGCGGGTAGAATTGGGAGCTGGCAATGGTGAAGTGCTTCCTTAAACAGCTAAGGCCACTCTTGGTCAGGGAGTTGAGTGGTCAAGAGGGCAGTTAGTTACTGGAGAAGGCGTGGGGCCTCAGGTTAGGGTATTGCATAATACTCACCTGAGGTTCCTTGAGTTGCGTTAATGAGTCACAGGCCCGGGCACTCAGTCTGAGGTCATGGTGGATGGCTGGCGTTGGCTTATTTGGAGTCCTGAGGTTCTGTGGGGTCACGGTCCAGTCATTCCGAGGGCCAGGTGGCCGGGGATTGACCATTTGGAGTCATGAGTTTCCATGAAGGCAGACTTCGTTCGGCTACATGGAAAGAGCGCTCAGCTGGCCAGTTCTGAAGAGCTGTCGGGGTTCCCAGATGAGCCCCTGAACCCCATGTTCAATCACAAAAATAAACACTCCATGTTTTCATTGTTCATCCAGGCCATTTAATAGATGAGTTAGACTGAGGGTCCACTGGGGGACTAGAACCCAGAGCCCCTGCCAGCCTCTGACAGTACCCTCCCTGGATCATACACTGAGAGCTCATGTGATTTCTGAGGTCAAAGCCAAGGCCTTCAATGCCCCTGGTGTGCCCACTTCACCTGGGACACCAGCTCCACAGCGGGGTTTGAGGGGTGCCAGTGTCACCGAGCCTCTGGGACGTGTGTCTCCTAGATGGAGAAGGGTGCACAGTGTAAGGATGGAGTGTGTTCCTAAGGATGGGTTAGCTGGAGGTAGAGGTCACTCACTGCAGTGTTCTGTCAAGCAGTCTGTACACGGGCCTGAGCCTAGTCTAGTCTGGTAGCCTTTCTTCCTGTACACAGTGGGGCTTACTGCTGGCATGGTATTAGGTGGTTCTGACAAGCAGCTGCTGTGTTTGAACCGCTGATCTTGTGGTTCGCAGTCCTGTGCTGATACTACTTGATGCGTCGCATACATCACATACTTGATGCATCAGTCAGATGTACTATGTAATGCCATCTAAACACAGTGCTTTTTTCTAAACTTTATTTTGTTGCTGAGACCAATTCAACAGTTTCTACCTGTACTATTTAGGGATAGTGAGTACATTCTTTGAAGTGTAAAACCCTTCTCACCCTCCTTTTTTGAGTTTTCATCCCATCATTAACACACACTCTCCCCTGAGGTTCCTGTCTAATTTTTTTAAGTTGCTGTTATCAATTTGACCCCATAGATAGATCTTGAAAGAACCTAGTGCTTAGGCAGATCTCCATTTCTGACTCCGCAATCCTGTGCAGGGCTTCCAAAGACTGCCAACCTGTGGTTCAAACCGACCTTGTGGACTGCTGCTTGATTCCACATGTATAGCTAAACTATTGCTTTGGTTTTAAGATGACTATGGAAAGATTTTTGGTTTAAGGTTTAAGGATTGTTTTAGGGCAATAGTTCCATGTGTTTACCCAGCCTCTGTAGTTCCAGAAAGTCTAGAGTCTGAGAATGAGAAATTCTGTTCTGTTTTTTGGATCAGGATTCTTCTATGGAATCTTTAGTCAAAATGTTTCGTTGTGGTAGCCTGCACATCCAAGTCTTCTGGTCTCATGACAAAGGAACAGTTGTTCATGGAGGCACAGCCTCCTCTTATTCCTGACTTTTCTTTGTTGCTCCAGGTAGAGACCAATTGTTATGCTTTGAAAGATGTGTAACTTGTTGACAATTACAGTCATCGATTGTGCAACTTTAATGTTTCCACCACCGTTAACCCTCGCAACCCCCTCTCCCAGCCCCAGTCATCACTTACTTGTGAGATCATACAATGTTGGTCTCTTTGTGATTGACTTATTCAGCATAATGTCTTCCAGCTCCAGCCACACCGTAGCATGTATCAAGGCATTTCTCCTACTAAGTAGCATTCCGTTGTTTTAGTTTGTCCAGTCATGTGTTGGTGACCATTTAGTTTGTTACACTTTTTGGCTATTGTGAATGTTATTACAATGTTATTAGAATGCAAATGAACATAGGTGTACACATTTCTTGTTGAGTCTGATTTCAAGTCTTGGGTATATATATAGATAGGAGTGGAATTGTTGGGTCATATGGGAGTGCAATAGCTCTGTAGGATAAACACAGGAATTGTAACTACAAGGTCAGTGGTTTAAACCTACCAGCAGTTCCATGGCAGAAAGATGAGGGCTGCGCCTTGGAAATCCTATACAGGGTCACTCTGAGTGGGAAGCTACTCAGTGGCACCTAATAACAACCTGGTAGCTCTATTTTTACGTTTTGAGGACCATTTATGATGTTTTCCACAGTGGCTGTAGTATTTTACGTCCCATCAGTTTTCCTACATCCTTCCCAATGTATGTTGTTGCTGTTTTTAATCTTGTTTTATCCTTGACCACATCAATCTTTTCTCCATCTGTCATGATGTTATTAGCGGTCCAGTGTTGAGGTGTAATCCAGTGTGAAGCTGTAGTTTTTGCTCTATAGCAATAAGTACCTCAAATGCTCTTTACAAGGCTGTGCCATCTGCATGTAGGAGGTTGTTACTGACTCTTCCTCCAATCCTGATGTGCTTTCCTTGTCATATAGTCCAGCACACAGATTGAATACATATGGTGAAAAGCTACAGCATGATATACACCTTTCCTGATTTTAGATCACACAGGATCCTCTTATTCTGTCTGAATGACTGCCTTTTGGTCTATGTACCGGTTCTGTGTGGTCACAATTAGATGTTCTGGAATTCCCATTCTTTACAACTATATCCATAGTTTGTTATGGATATAGTTGAATGGCTTTGTGAAGTCCTAAAGCACAGGTCCTTCCAGGTTCTTCTTATCTTGTCTGAAAGCTCTGCTGAAACCTCCCACCATGGGTTACCCTGATAACATTTTAATACCAGCAGCATAGCTTGCAGCATCACAGAAACACACCGTTCACCATAGTACAAGCTGATAGAGAAGTGGCGGTGTCTACACTGATACCAAGCAGGAGTCTACTACCACTGGGGAAGGGCAAGAAACTCACTTGAAATGTGCCTAAGACGTAGGCTGGATCAGGACAACAGAGAACCCTTCTGCCCTTAACGCAAGCCTAGTCTACCACCAGGGAAGGAGACAAGCATGAAAAGAGGCATCTTCTATGTTGCAAAAAGTTGAGTGTGTAGTACAAACACTGAGAAGAGCCCTTTGTCCCCACCCCCCCAGCCCAACTCCAGACACAAGAAACAGTTGTTAACTGCAGTCAAATTGGTCCCCAACTCATGGTGAACTTGTGTACAATGAAACAAGGTGCTGCATGATCAGTTGCATATTGCCCCATTGTGACACACAGGGGATTCATTGGCTGGTTTTCAGCCTTTCTTAATCTTAGCCTGTAAACTTTGCTGAAACACATCTGACACCGTAGTGCCATGGAAACATCCGCTGAATGACGGCTGTACGTGAGGTGTTTGGTCAAGAATTGAATCAGGAACTCTTGCATGGATGATGAAAAGCAGCCTGTGGTGCTCTGAAACCCCCAAATCTAGCTCAACCCCTGATTAATCAGAATGACTCAGTCTTCCACAATCAAGACCTGAGGCAAGAAAAGGCATGTCTCTTCTAGTACGGAGTCCTGGTGTGGCGCTGTGGGATCAGCACCGGACTGTAAACCAGAAGGCTGGTGCTTCAAACTCGCCAACCACTCCTAGGAAACTACATAGGGTCTGCATGAGTCAGAATTGATTTGATGGAACTATACAACAACAACTTGTAGTAGACAGATGATGCTCAGTGTTCAGTGAAAAAATACACACAAAAAGACAAGGGAAAAACCACTGTCTAAC